CACACACACACACACACACACACAAATAGCTCTTGCATTATTAGTGATGATAATGGAAAAAGCAGTTTTGCCAGTCCAGAAACCCAGTATCCCGTATCCTAAACTATGGGAATTCCCTGTAGGGAAACTCAAAAAATCCCATTGGGTTGTATAAGGTTAAATATTCTGCCATTATATAGCTCTCCGGAGACTTATAAAGGTGGATTTTATGTTTTATTTTTGGGAATTGTACTTCTTGCTATTTTTTTCCCAGAGTTTTTTGTCCAAAACTTCATAATTTATAAAAGCCTTATCATTTGGCTTTGAAAACATTGCTTTAAAGTTCACAGCTGGTTTTTCTCAAATTGTTGACCAGAGCAATAAAAGATCATTCTGAGTTATTCCAGAGGGGAAACTAGGATCAATGAGTATAAATAACAGGGAAATAAAGCTCAATAGAAGGAGAGTAGGCTGCCACCAAGCCCTCCTGGCCATGGGAAGTCCAGCCAAGGATTTCAGGAGAATCTCAGCTTTTATTGAATGTTGGGCTAGGTGACCTTCAAGGTCTTTTCTAACTTTAAGATTCTACGATATAATAATTGTTGGTTAAAAATAATGGTTCTAGCTCCTACTGACCAGCCCGTTTTCTGAGCGAGAGTTCTGCAGTATTGGCAAGGAGCACAGATATAGCCACACTGCTCAGGTCCAAACTCCAACCCTGCCACTACAAACCTTGCGACATTGGGCAAGCTACATAGACTGGGTGGCTCAGTGCTCTCATCTGTAAAATAGAAAATAAAACTACCTACCTCCTAGAGTTATAGAGTTGTTTTGAGGATGAAATGATCAGGTAAAGTGTTTATGGAGTGCCCAGCAAATAATAAACACTCAATTAATGTTAGCTCTTATTATCAACTCCTAGTCCTTCAGTTCTATCCACAGTACTGGGAAGAGGAGATGGGATAGTCCCTATCTCCATTTTCCAGGGTCTATTACACATAAAAAGTAATGATTTAGGGCTGGGTGGTTAGCTCAGTTGGTTAGAGCATGGTGCTATAACAACAGGGTCAAGGGTTCAGATCCCTGTACCCACCAGCCACCAAAAAAAAAAAAGTAATGTTTCAGAAACATTTGTAGGGTTGTGCAAGCCCACAATTCTGCTACATATAGGTATAATACAAAGAAAACTTAAAAATATTTAATGCCCATCAGCATATGTCAAGCTAGTAATAAGCACAACGAGCACTCTGGAAGTTGGAAAGTAGGGCTCAACCCAGCAAAGGAGGAAGGAAAATTATTGAATGTGTCAAGTGAGAACATCTCGAGAACAGAGCATAAGCAGAGGCAGATGATGGAGGAATGGGGGCTGAAGTGGCCGGGCACACGGGAGCCCAGTTGTGTGGTGGAGTGAGCGAGAGGCCGTGAGCAGAGTAAGGAAGGCCAGGCTGCATGTGGGTGAGATATGAAGAAGGCAGAGGAGATTTGTCTGCAGCTGGCACATGTGAAGAGTTTGTTTGGGGGACTGTCTGCAGCACAGCAGTGTGTAGGCTGCACTTGAGTGGGGAGACAAGAGGGCCCGATTGGGAGACAAGCACCCATCTCTGCAGGAAGCGGCAGGTGTCTGTGGGCTAAGGTGGAGGTGAGCAGAGTGGAATGTCATTGCTCACATGTTAGCTGAATTCCATCAGTTTTCGCCTTTGAAGCAATTTTTACTGTAAGGTAGTGCATGAATGTGTTGCTGACTTCTATCTAAAAAATTACAGGAATACTTTCAGGGCCTGGAGTCTCATATGATCTTGACTGAAACACTCTTTAGGAAGATAATCAGCTTTGCAGTCCCAAAGGAAACCCAATTCCACACAGAACTGATGGCTCAGGCTTCTGCTGTACTGAAACGAGCTCACAAGAGGGGCGTGGAACTGGAGTACATTCTAGAGGTGAGACTGTTGATGTAGCGTCTTTCCTACTGCAGACGCCCTACTGCAAAATGGATCTTTAAGGCAAGATGTGTTTATTCATGCAGTTGTCCATGTGTAACCTTGAACTAGCTGTGCCCTCTGGCTCAGGACTGTACTTTTCCTATGGTTATGTGTTGCCTTGTTCCCTTCTATTTCCTACTCACATTGGAATATATGCTGTGCTATCTTATAAGTCAGCTGGAGGAACCCTAGCTTCAGATCATGAGTGAAGGTATTTGGGGTTTTGATATTGAAAAACCCTGATTAGGGTTTTCACAACTAAATGAATCCATCCAGTCTTTACCATAACTCTCTGAGAGGTATTTTGAATCCCTATTTTAGGAATGAGTCTGGGAGCAATTTCTTGACAAGGCACGTGATGGCTTGGTGGCAGAGTCAGCAGTCACACCCACGTCTGTCTGACTTCATAGCCTGAAATGTGTGTTTCTCAATGAGACCTAGCTGACCACGCCATTTAATTGGCAGCCCCAGCACACACACACCTGGCCACTGCCTCCCTCCCCTACACAGCTCTGTTTTATTCCTCTGCAGCACAAGAACTCTCTCATGTACCATAGAACTTACTGTTTGTTTTTGGTTTATTGTTATTGTTGATCGTGTCTGCCCTCACTAGAATGTGAGCTCCATGTAAACAGGGATTTTTGTCTGTTTTATTCACTGCTAGATGCTCTAGGCCTTGGACAGTGCCTGGCAATATGCATTTAGTTAAGTGTATTGAAAAAGGCATCGCTTCTACTGTGACGTCTTGTTGCCACTCCAAGTGCACATTCAAGTAAACACACACACATTGAAAAACCACTGACCCTTGTTATAAATTATTGGAAAAGACTGATTAAAATTTTTTTCCATTTAAAAACAAACTAAAAATCTCAACTTAGGAATAAGTGAATTGGTATTTTTCTTAATAGACTATCTATACTATACATGAATATTTTAAATATGTCTGTGTTTTATTTTAAATTTTACTTGCAATGTAATGAATTTTAGTTCTCTCCCTACATGAAAAGCAAATGTGCCCATCCCTTTTACTTAAATCCTTGCTATGGGGGGCCGGCCCAGTGGCACACTGCTACAGTGCACCGCTTGGGAGCGCGGCGGCGCTCCCACCGATGGTTCGGATCCCACATACAGACCGGTTCCCGCTCACTGGCTGAGC